CTCTCTCTGTCTTTCTTTCTCTCTCTCTCTCTCTCTCACACACACACACACACACACACACACACACACACACACACACACATACATACACACACATATGCAACATTTGAAAAATGAAAAGATGGAGACAAATTTTAAAAGCTGATAATCCTTATCATTCATATAACACTCTTATGTCCATAATGTGATGTGCATATCATTATCGATTGTCCTGTGAGAGTGTAATGTCTGTTTATGTATTAGCGTTATTCTAAAGAGCCTATGTATGCACATTCATTCTTTGTGTAGGAAATATTGAGTATAATGATTGTTAATGTTTGACATCTAATCGACACAAGGGCATATAGCAACACAAGTCTTGATGAAAAATATAATATACACTTGTAAAATGAAGTGACATAAGATGAAAAAAAAGGTTTTAAAAAAAAGGATGTCTGTCTTTTTTTTTTGGGGGGGGGGTCTATTTGTCTACATGTTTTGAATCATCACAGACGGCACATGCCCATAGCAGCTCACCACTTTTCCCCAGGACCCCAGAATTCATCTCAAAGTCTATCTACTTATTACCCCACTGAAAATCTGGTTGGAGTTCCATCAGACAGGAGCACTCAGGTTATTGAAAAGATAATTAAGATTCACATTTCCGATTCTTCCTCAAAATAAATGAACACGGACTTTATGTCTTTATTAAATTCAATATGCAGGCATGACAGTTCGCCTAAGTTTGAGACTTTACGCACTTAAAATTATCCTACAATGCAGGATACAATTTTCACGTACATCTTTCATTTCAGAAGACTATTAACCTCAAGAAAGGTCACAGATTCGAACCGCCAGCCTTCTGCATCCACATCAAGTCAAAAGCAAAAAGACGTCCGTCCACGGGATTCATCACAATTCGAAGACAGAGGGGGGACATCAGAATTGCTTCAGTGGCCGCCATTTGTAGAGAGTTTGGCTGGATATGGCGATGTCGGACGCTAGAGCTACGCTGAGGAGGATGATGTCGGTGTTTGTCATGAGGGTGATGATGATAATGATGGTGATGATGCTGACATTACGGCCTGTGGATGCCAGGTGTACCAAGACAAAGAGTGGGAAGGGGTACTCTTTGACTATTGGTAAGTTGTTATTGTTTTCTTGAATGAAATTCATTCATTCCTTTGTTTTGTTTTGGTTCGTTTGTTTGTTTGAGGAAGGGGGGAGATCTTTTTTTCTTTGGGGGGG